ATTTTTTTCTATCAGGGAGAAGATTTCTAACGAAGATGGAAATCAAAAGATTTCTATGTTCTGGATTTAGAGCTCTTTGCCTTTGGAATGTTTTAGTAAACCGTTTCACAAAGGCTTCAGAAGGCTTTTCTTTCCCTCTGGGTACATAGTTTTATTTTAGCTTAGGGGAGAAGACCTAAAAAAAATTTGTATTAGGCTCTAAATATCAGCTGTGGTCACAAGTTCAGTCAGACCAGTGACCTCCCATCTTGTTTTCTGCCTTTTTATCTATCCACTAATCTCAGGAGGTAATCCCTTTACAGAAAAACTTTTGAGAATCCTCCCTGGGTTTAAGAAATTCTTTAAGTATGCCCGTTAGTTTGTCCTTTGCCTAAGGAGTGAAAGATATTTGAAGAGGATCGCATGAAGCCTCAGATGGTCTTATTTTAAAGGTAACTGTTTAATAGTCTCTTCAGAATGGAAAGGCTATTTGGATAAAAGGATTACAAGAATGAGTGCTCAAATAAAGGAGGATAGAGGGAGGCAGTAGGAATTACATCAGTCTTATCTTTTGTTTTAGGTACCTCTTGTGTCTTTAATTTTTTAAATTAGCCTTTTGCAACAAATCTTTCAATAAAGCTATTTTGGAATTTTCAAGCCTTTGGAAGCTTCTGAGTACCAATTAAAAGAGGTGTCTCATTCTGTTTGTTTAATTTGGGAGCCCTTGCTTTTAAATGCGCTTCTGAAGTGATCCTACCTAATTGGAACGTTCCTCATAGTGGCTATTGCAATTCTAGGTTGTAATTATCCTGAGGACTGGCTGTGGTTTGATAGGGCCCCGGCTGCAAAATGGAGTGTAACCCACATTTTCTGTCTAACCATCTCTAGCTGCAGATAGGGGTGGAACCCACATTTCTGTCCAGCCATAGGACAGTTACCAAGCAAGACTCTCAGGACACAGTCAGATTTTGCTGTTTTTGTAGATATTTAGAGCTTCTGGGACCATAGTTCTTAGACATAAAATGAGCAAGTGTCCCAAAAGGTGGTGTGCTCAACTCTTTGTAATTTAAGAATTACATTTTTTAAATTATTTATTTATTTAGCTAAACCTTTGGGTCCCTCAGGACCAGACTAATACCTAAAAGGGACATGTCACTGGATCTTTTACAGTGTACCTCATTGCACAGAAATTTCTTTAGGTTAGCAGGTGGCCTAATGTCAATCTAATCCATTCTGTGACCAACTCACGCTAACACGGGAGTCTTTGGGTTGGGTGGTGAGTGCTATAACAGCTTTGAAATGCATGACTTGTGCCTACCAATTTTTGTGGCTGTTTGGCTTCTGAGATCCCCAATACGTTTATCTACACATACGTTGTTTATCTACACAAGACAAGCCAAACAAACATGTGTGCCTTAACATACCAGTAGTAACCAAGGGATGTTACTATGGACTGGCCAAGAGAAGGCCTTGTGTGCACCAGCACCAATTCCCATGATGGAAGCTTAGGCTTAGGAAAGGATTGACTCAGCACATCTCAACAAATGGGGTTGCAGACTGGGGTCTCCACATAAATGGGGAACTGTGACCTGCCACCGACAGTTCCCACATGGACCTAGGGACAGAATCAAAGCTGAGGGTATTGGGATATTGGGAACTGAACCGAGGGCTAGGGACTCAGGTTCTGGATAGAACCATCCGCCTGCTCAAGCTGACTTGGTAAGCCCTGCGCTGGAAGGCCAATTAGATCAGGAGCTTGATGCAAAGAGAGTGGTGTTCAGAACCAAGAGGAACTTACTCACCGCCTCTGGAAATGACAAGAAAGACAGTGAACCCAAAGGGCTTGTGGAGTACCATGCCCGTGTTTCTTATTGTCTCTGAAGCCGTCAGAAGTCTCCTTAGGTGCCACCAAATCTATTAAAAAACAAAATTCAACTGAGTAAATTTAAAGATCAAATTGGCCTTTATTCAACGATTCATTAATCAGGGAGCATCCTATTTAACAAATAGAAAGGAGCTCCAAAGAGCTGCATAGAATGAAAGGCTGTTATAGACAGAAGGAGGCAGGGACTGGCATAAAGTAGATTATCTTATCTTTCTTTGGGGGATGGAAGGGTTCTATAAGGTGGATTATCTCACTACTGCTGACCAGGAAATTCCAGATGGACTGGTTAAGATTACATTCCTGGGGGGGGTTGAAGCTGCAGTTGGGTTAGAGTATTAGGTTTCAGTTGGGTGAAATGCACTTAGCACATGTGACTTCATTTTGGACCGTTGTCTCTTTTCTAACAAGCACAATGACCTGACTTACAGATATTGTGAAATGATTGCCATAAGTTTAGTTAGCATCCATCATTCTCATGTAGATATAAAAAAAAAAGAAGAAAAAGAAAAAATATATTCTTTTCCTTGTGATGAAAACTCAGGATTTGCTCTCTTAACAACTTCCAAATATAATAGACAGTAAAGTTAACTACAGTCATCATGTTGTACATTACATCCCTAGTACTTATTTATCTTATAACTGAAAGTTTGCACCTTTTTTTTTTTTTGCTATTGAGTTATTGAGTTCTTTATATATTTTGGATGTTAACCCTTTATCAGATATATGGTTTGCAAATACTTTTTTCCCACCTCATAGGTTCCCTTTTTGTTTGGCTGATCATTTCTTTTGCTGTGCAGCTTTTTAGTTTGATATAGTCCCACTTGTTTATTTTTTATTTCGTTGCTTGTGCTTTAGATATCATATCCACAAAGTCATTGCCGAGATCCAGGTCAAGGAGCTTTTTTCTGTTTTCTTCTAGGAGCATTTTGGTTTCCAGTCTTACATTTAAGTGTTTAATCTATTTGAGGTTAATCTTTGTGAGTGGTGTAAGGTAGGGTCTAGTTTCATTACACATAAGCCTTTTGTTGGCGTTTCTGTATGTATACTCTGGCATTCTGTGTCTTTAGATGTAATTTTACTTATTTATCCTCACTGAATATTTTACTCTGTCTTTTCCCAATGTCTTTGTATGTATGTTTACATACTTTCTTTTCCTTTTTCACACAACTTCACATACATCAGGTGTTTTGACGGCAATGGAGGCAATCACTGCTGCGGATTCTATCATGACTATCAGCTTCAGTATGCCTGGAATGTTGAGAGTATTATGGCTGAGTAAGAAGGTGGCTGCAAAGAGAATATAACATGTTCAGTTTGGTTGGGCCTTTGGTCTGTGTTTGCTACTAGGAGGGCTGAATGAATGGGAGCTGTCCAGTAAGCAGATCACCAATGACCTGCCCAGGGCTCGGGACCATTCTGTGAAGCTAGCTAGGACTGGGAGTGGTGACAGGGAGAGAACACTTTCTTATTCTTTGACGATCATCCTGGAGGTGTTCATCCCACAGGAGAAGAAAAAGCCAGCCTTGTAGAATTGTGGGCAAGGTAAAGTCATGTTTTGCAATGACTTGGGCACCTGTAACCTGATCAGGATCAGGAATGAAGAAAATATTTAGGGCACATGGAAGGAAAGGGATGGAAGAGTTGATATTTGTGTCTGTATATCCTTTTTTGTGTGTAAGAGTGGATACGTAGAAATTGGTGTATGGTAGCAATTTTGAAATACATGCATGCATATACAGTAAACTCTATTTTTTTGAATTGTGCCTACGTTTTTTGGCTGACACCAGAGATTCTATTTATTGATTGATTTCCTTTTCCCACCAAGAGTATCTTGCCACTGGTATCCATTATAATTCTTACAATATATGAAGTCAACTTAAAAATTAGCTATGTCATAAATAAAAAGGAAAATAATAGGCTTTCACTAACCAATAATTCATGATTTCTCAAATTATCCGAGTTTAGCTACCCACTGCCTCTTCTCTGTTAGGGCAATATGGTCCATAGCAAATTTTAAATGCCAGCGTAGTTTCACTCTACTTGTCAGAACTGTTATGGCAGCCTTCTGCTGTTATTGCTTGGGGGTATGCTCAGAAATTTAAGTACATTGTGGCATTTTTCCAAGCAAAACATAATTTAAGACAAATCTACTACCAAAAAATCACATATATTAGAGCAAAATAAAAATTATTTGGAGATTTCCCATATTGTTGCTCCCCTCTGTTGGTATTAATAGTTGAGAAATGACTGTGCCCTTGAAATCAACCTTCAGCCATTAGACCAAAGCCGGTAATAGCAACTAAGGCCCAATGTTAAGAACTGCTGATTATATGACGCTTTCTGTTCCCTGTAGAGTTCACATGAAATAAAGTAGGCAAGCAGGTGCACTTTGAGTACTTCTCCATGGCCTTGCAGGAGCAGTTCTTTGTGTTTCGAGATATGACTGTGCATGTGTTATCGTGTTTACTTCTCTTTCTTGGGAATTAGACTTGACTTGTTTATCATGCTATATTAGCTGTCATATGCTTCATTCTTCCTTGAGTGAATTTATGTATACAACTACAGTTTTTAAGACTAGCATCGAAACAAAAAGTTTGAATGGTCAAATATTGAAGGCACATGTAACAGGTTTCTTTACACTAGAAGGTGGGCATAGTCTGCTGTATTTAAATATGCTCTCATCTCTATCAAAGTACTTTCTGAAAACACGTTTTGCACATTTAACCGTAAGGTTTCCCTTCTTTTGTGTGTTCCTAAGGACTACTGAGGGTATTTAGACAACTGGTTGGAAATGTATCTATTCTGGTATGTGTCCCATTCTATTTTCAAAGAAACCAGAATTTGTTACAAGTTTCAGAGAGAAAATCTCTATATGTAGCCACACTCTCAGTGCCCTGGGGTGTATTTACACCATTAGGAGTCTTAATTCCTTCTTTACTATCCTGTTTGTGGACTGAAAAAGCTAAGTAAGCATGGAGATAACACTTTCCTGTCCTGGGGGCAGAAATGTGTGAAAAGATGAAGGGTATTTAACCTCTTAGGTCTACTGCTTCTGATTGTTGAGGCTGAGAAAATTCCGTAAAGCACTTTTCAGTAGAACTGTTCACCATATTAGAATCTCTCTTTTCCTTTGCAGACCCTTCATGTGGCCTTTTTTAATATGCGTTTGAAACAGAGAGTTATGTGTAGAAGTTGAAAATGCCTGGAAGATTTCTGGTCTCTGTCACTCCTTTTCCTGCCTTTTTGCACCTCTGCCTGATTTGGATGATGTGACATTCAGCGGGACACCTTAACCGAAGTCGTTCTTCAACGAGACATCTGGCCAAAGATTGTGTAGTAATTCAAGATGGCGAGTCAACCGCCAGAAGATGCCGCAGAGTCTCAGGGGTCTGACGAGCTCGAGTGTAAGATCTGTTATAATCGATACAATCTGAAGCAGAGGAAACCCAAAGTGCTGGAGTGTTGTCACAGGGTGTGTGCCAAATGCCTCTACAAGATCATAGACTTTGGGGATTCCCCCCAAGGCGTCATCGTCTGTCCTTTCTGCAGGTTCGAGACGTGCCTGCCTGATGACGAAGTTAGTAGCCTGCCCGATGACAACAACATCCTTGTAAACTTGACTTGTGGAGGCAAAGGCAAGAAGTGCCTGCCAGAGAACCCCACCGAGCTGCTGCTGACCCCCAAGAGGCTGGCCTCTCTCGTCAGCCCTTCTCACACTTCCTCCAACTGCCTGGTTATCACCATCATGGAGGTGCAGAGAGAGAGCTCCCCGTCTCTGAGCTCCACTCCCGTGGTAGAATTTTACAGGCCTGCAAGTTTCGACTCTGTTACCACTGTGTCCCACAATTGGACTGTGTGGAACTGTACCTCCCTGCTGTTTCAGACATCCGTCCGGGTGTTAGTTTGGTTGCTAGGTTTGCTGTACTTCAGTTCCTTACCCTTGGGGATCTACTTACTGGTATCTAAGAAAGTCACCCTTGGGGTCGTCTTTGTCAGCCTCGTCCCTTCGAGCCTTGTTATTCTGATGGTGTATGGTTTTTGCCAGTGTGTTTGTCATGAATTTCTAGACTGTATGACACCTTCTTCTTAATCGATATGCAAACTAAGAATTTGACATACATTTGCCATGTTTGAAGTTAGGTAATTGATCATTTATTTTCTTTTGTATTCTCTACGATTAGCGTCCATGACATTCGCAAAGCCATTGGCCATACGTTTGTAGTCTGTTTTCCATCAAAATGTTGACTCAGTTGGTTTTCCTGTATGCTGGAAGTAATAATGTTCATTTCTGCTTAGGTGTTAGCAAAGAAGAGGCAAAAATGTATGAGCTGGGCCCGCATGGAGCTCTTCTTGTGAGGCTTCCCAGAGAAAGAGCAGGATTTCACTCAGCTCTGCTGGACAGACTCCGGGGGCGAGGCGTGTTAGCCTACAGGAGAGGTCTTTGTGGAAGGTTAGGAAGGAACTGATTCCTCTTCTCATAATCATTGATAGTCTAGGATGGAGGGTGGACACAAGAGGAGAATATTCCAAGACACGTCTGTTTGAAAGGGGTGCACCCCCCTCATTGTTGGAGCACCCCTGAGTCCTCTTCACGTGTTCTGTCTCTTAAGTTAACGTTGCTCTCTGTGGTCTGCTATCTGCTACTCCAGTTGAGGTGCTGGTTCCCTTTGCCCATGCTCCCTTGCCAGGAGGAAACTCGTCCTCATGCCCTTGTGTGGTTTCAGTTGAATACCTGTTTTGCCACACTACTAAAGAGAATTAAAAACACTGAGGAATTTGCATCACAGTAAACTCCATGACAGAATATGGCCACTTGTCTTTGGGACACACCCTTTCCTCCAGATTTATTTTCCTGTCTCCTCAGTCTTCTCCGAAATTCCCACAGAGCAGTTATTGTTCATGGAAATCTTCGTTTAAGTCTTTCCTTAAAACAGGTTAGTTTAGTTTTTTTTTTTTAGCTGCGTTGTTCAACCAGCCCCACTCCTTATCCTCAATGAGGTTCCGTTTAAATTAGTTCTATAAGTTTATGAGGGTTTTATTTTTTCCTGTTGTGTTTTAAATTCTATTATGGACTTATTTAACTTAATCCTAACAATTTTGGGTAAACTGTGGCAGTGGAAACCCAGAAACAATTATTGAGATGTCCTAGCTCACAGTTTGAAGGGCTGAGAACCTCAGTATTTTGCTGTACTGTACTGAGTTGTCCCAAAACGTAATGGTTTAGGTTTATGTGCAAAACTGTGTCGCAGTAGGCCAGGCCAAAAGGTGGGCAAGAAACACACAAAGCTGACGCCCAGCTCGGAAAGACCCTTCAAGGAAGTAAAATGAAGGTGGCAGAGTGCAGCTTAACGTGTTGCAATCCCTGTTGTTTTTAAGACCGTTTTAAAATGGATTCAAGTTCTTACATGGTTTATTTCGGATAAAAGCATAAGCTTTGTGACTTGAGGTGGTGAACTTCTTTTCATGATGTAGGAGAAGCTGAATGTATATATTTATGAGAGAAATTGTTTAGCAGATTTTAGGTTTGAGGGAATAGAATATCCACAGAAACTAGGCCAAAAAAAAAAAGCTTTTTAGTCTCTAAAACCCATTACTGATGATTAACATTAAAATACTTATAACTCTTAGAAAGGGGCATTTCTATGACTATTTAACTTGTTTGTGATGAGACATTTATTTGTGATATAGTTACAGGGGACCCAGTTCCAATCTCCTTGTTCAGGAAAAATTAATACATTTCTAGAATAGTGGTTTGATTTTAATTGTATAACTAGTAACTTTGGGAATATGTACACCCAAGGTGAGTATGACGGGAATGTATATGTGGGATGTGGCCCAATGAGTTTAAGCCCCAAGATACAGCTAAATACATTTATGATTTCATAAAATCTAGTTTAGATAGTATTGTGAATGCAATTTCCAAAAATCCATTTGTACTTAGAGTAAATATAATATTTAGGAGATGTTTTGTGGTTTGGATTTATATATTTATAAGGTTTTTAGAAATGTTCATTTTGTCTGAAATGTAGCATCAGATAAACTGGTGACTTATCCTATGATGAGATTTCTAGAAAGCTCTGGACATGGGTACTATGTATTTTGCTTATTTGTAAAATGTCTGCAGTGCTAAATTTGTGTCTCTCTGTTTATTGTGATAGTCTTTTTAACAGTTGCCAGTTAAGTTAATTTGGTTTTAAAGAGTTTTAAATGTATGACAACAAAAAACTCTTCATGCTGTTGAATGAAGAAAGGACCGTGCTTCAATGTCTTATTCACTGTGATAATGTTTTGTTTGTCCATTAAATTGTTATTATTTCTAAACCAGAAGTTGTATTTCTCTCGTGGTTGAGATTTAGTTATTACTTTGGACCTCTATTAACGTTAGGTAACTGCAAGCGAGAGCTTTCAGAAACGTTGATTATGCTAATGCCTTGATCACATGCAGATCACACGACAAAGCTGATCGAACTTATCCCACTCCTGAAGGACCTCCATACTTTTTTTAAAAAAAGCAGGGGATAAAAATTATGGAAGCTTAAACGAAAACGTTTTTAATCTTTATAAATAAATATTTTGGTTTTAATGTGACTGTTTTGGAGTTTGCCTAGCTGCTCAGCCAAATAGAATCCATTTCAGTTGGGGAATCACTAACCTTGTGTGATCTGGGCAAATTTTAAAAATTACCTGATATTTAAGTATGACCGTTGTTAGGCAAAGTAGAAGTAGTTTGGGATATGTAGCAGTTTATATCTTATGATACTTAGTGAATTGTCACCCTGTGTTAATCAGGGTAATGCTTTCATTCACTTGTGAAACCTACATAAACGAGGAAGGAATTGGGTGAAGAAAAACAGTTACTTGTGCTGGTCATAGCTTAGAGTGTGAACATACCCTCAGGTGATGAAAATTTGCCCGGTTTTAAATAGATACTAGGCTTCTAGGACACCTCAAGTTTGAGGAAATTTCCTGATATGTCAACCAGGTAGACGTGGAAGCCAAAGGAATCCTGTATTGATAGGCAGACTGATCCTGCAGTTGTAAATGTGAGCCCTGTGCGTGTGGGGGACAGAGGAGGCTGGACCGCGTGAACTGGAGAGTGTAGTGGAGGCAAGCTACAATTCTGCATTTATCCGCATTTTTCTGAGACTTTCTTTTTTCAATCTCCTTGGTAAAATACTTGCCTTCATTCTTCTGAAACACTACATATTAGAGCTTTCCTCAAAACTAATGAGTTTCGGGTAAAGGTAAGCTCTCTCAAAGTGTTTAACCGTTTGCTCTTGAACTTGAGTCTTGTGTGTTTTCCACATCTCTGCCCCTATGTTAGCTATTTATTTCTCTGCCTCAAACCCTTTATGAATTCTTACTCCTCTATGAGAAACTAGTGCCTTAGCGTTGGGTCTTCCCTCACAGATTTACTTTTGTATAAAAGAGATTAAAAAAGAAGAAGAAGAAGAATGAGGATAACAAAATGTTGAAATTTGAGTAAATTCCAAGTGAGTGCTGGAGGCAGTACAGATTCAGCTCATTGTATCATTTAAATCTGTGGTTTAACCCAAATCTAAGTATACTCATTGTACAGCTATTTATGGCTTTGACATGAAAGTGCTTTAAATTTAAGAATAAAAAAATCTAAAATTTAATTAGGTCCTAAATATTGTGTATGCTAAGTAGGGATACCTGCCATTGTATTTTTAAAAGCGGTTGAACCTTGATTTAATTGAAACGTGCAATTACCTGGGACAGTTACTCTACAAGCATGTTAATTAATCAGGAGTTTATTAGATTTGCAACATACTAACGTTTTCCCTTTAAACTGAGATGGGTGGAATTTCGTGAGAGAGAAGAACGTGCCGTCGCTTAGTAGGTGTTTTAGATCTTGGTTTTCCCCTGAAGTGCAAGGCTTTAGCAAGAAGGGTTCTTTCTGTGTTCAGATCCATTTACTTCAGACACTTCAGGTTTGGGAGTCATTGAAATGCTATTGGCATAATAGCAACTGAAGCTAAGGGAGTGGAGAAATGCAGAGCGGGAGAGAGCGAGGGCCAAGGCTGAGCTCTCTGAGCCTGTAACTTTGATCAGTCGAGAAGCTGGCAAAGGGACCACGTTGGGGCAGCCAGAGCCGAAGGCCCAGAAACTGGACAAGTGTGGTCACAGGAGCCAAGAGAAGGGAGGTGGAATTAGGATGATCGGGTGAGCACAGACAGAAGCAGATTTCAGATTAGATTATTGAAAAAAAATACCAAAAAACTGTTTTCCAAGCTTTTCTCATGAAGATTTTCAAATATACAGAAAAGTTGAGAGAATTATATAATTATCACTTACTTACCACTTAGACTCAGCAGTTAACATTTTGCTGTATTTGTTTTTTCTCTTTTTCCCCCCTAAGACTAAAAGACTTCCTCAGATTTTACTAAAATATCGTTAGTTCATCAACGACAATGCAGAATACTTTTCTGATATCATTTAATATGCAGTCTACACAAATTTTTCTATTTGTTCTCAAAATATCTTTTTTAGTTTAAAGCACAAAACACAAGGATCTAGTCAAGCTTCACACATTGCATTTGGTTGTGTGTATTTTATTCTGCAACTGTCACCCCACCTTGTTTTCTCCCTGATTGACTTTTTGAAGCAAGCCGGCCACTTATCTTGTACAATGTCCCACATTCTGGATTTGTCTGGCTGTGTCCTGGTGGTGTTTAACTTCTATCACTTGCATTTCCTGTGAACTGAAAGTTAAGTGTAGAAGTGTGGTTGGATTCAGATTTGGGGCAAGAAGTTTTCTTAGGTGATGCTGTGTACTTGGTATTGCACCACGTCCGGAGACGTGAATGAATGGTGGTCCTCCCATTCAAAATGCTGATCGCTCAGTGAAGGTGGCGACCTCCAGGTCTCCCCGTTTCCCCGGTGCAATTAGCAAGTCATCTGTGGGGTGACCCTTTGGCACCTTGAAAGTATCATCTTCCCTAACAGGTTTTACCTGATGGTCTTAGCATCCAATGATGATGCTTGCCTGAATCAATTATTTCATTTTTCCAAAGATTTGGAGTGCATTATTCTGTGAGAACGTAATTCCCCCTCACTGGAGGTTTCCAAGAGAGGGTGGTCCTATTTCATCTCAGCAGATATATGGTGGAAGAGAGAGAATCATAGGCGCCTACACTTGTCTAAAGTTCCCGTAAATCTTAAGGTTGGAATGTGTCATTACAGTCATCCAGTTATTGAAGGAATAAACTGAAATAGATAACAGTCTTTTATCTCCTGAAGTACTTTCTATAATCTCAGAGAAGAAGGAAACCCAAATCTTTTTGTGAAATGACGTTTTTTTAAACCTGTAAATTATGCACTTGATTCTAGCCTCAAACTTTCAAAATACCTGTTGGGTTTATTAAACACCCATCTGAAACACGTTATTCCTCTCTTTCTTAAGTTGCTTAACCAGCCCTCTGTTTATCTTCCAAATCATGTTGGACTACCTGTCCTTTCCTTTGAGACTGCATACTCCTTGGCCTCAATCTTGGTCAGATCTTCTTGAACTCTTAACTTCAGACGCCTCTATTTTCTTATTCTCGTAATTAGTTCACTCTTTAGTTTATTCTTCAGAGTGATCTTGTTTGGTCAGAATAACCTTTTGTTTATTGTCTGACCATTCCCTCCCTTCTTAAAATCTCTTCCAGGGAGTGGGTTCTTCCAGAAAGTTCACTGTATGTTCCCAGTCTTGGTAATATTCTGGAGGTTTCTCCACGTGCACTCCCGTTTTTAGATTTTTCAGTCCTTTGAGTGGCAGATGGAATGTCTACAGAGCTTCTGTCAGCTCACATAATAAATTCTGTAGTCTTTGGATAATATTTAAAAAATTTTAATAAGCATTGTTCTTAGGTAAAATGTATGCTGTATAATTCTAAACTTAACATCTTCCCTAATTCTTGCCAAGGGAGTTCCAATTTGGTTGAGCCAACTAATAAATGTATACTGGACTAGGGTCAGATAATTCTGAGAGCTCATAATGTCTCAAATTCCTTCTCAATAGTTGAAAATAAATTAAGCTTTTAATTGTTTCATATCTATAGATAAGAAAGCTTGTCTTCTAACATGGAATTTTAAATGAATTAAAATAACACGTTTACAGTGAAGTGTGATTTTTAATGCTAAATAACATCATTAGTCAATAAATGAACACCTGTTTTTGTCATGTGCTGAGACAGAAACTCGTGCACTCTTCCTTTCTTCCCATTTTCTCTGATTTCTTTATTGCCATTTATGGCAAAGGGGGAATGGAACAGGCTGCCAGTAGTGGGGACAGTAAAATGTTGATAATTTCTCGTTTCCAAATTTAACAATTTACATTCTTGTCAAAGTTTCATGGAAGGACACATTCCAACTTTGCCTGTGACCCCTGCCTCATTATCAGTCTTCACGTTACACACAGGAAAATATCTAAATATATGCAGAAGGAGGTCCCAAGCAGAATAATTAACTACTGATTATTTATTGCGCCTTTGAAACTTTCACCGTTAATTCTCAAAGAATGGAACCCAATCTTCCAAATTTTGAAAAACATGAACCAAATTTAAGCTTTTGATCTTTGAATGTTAGGGCAGGAAAGATTTGGAGGTCACAGTCCAATGGCCGTATTTTACAGACAGGAAAACCGACGCTCCAAGGTAGCATCAGAGTCACGTGACAAGTGCTACACCCAAGTTCTACGGAAGGTCTTTGAAGTCCAAGTCTGCTTTTCACCCTTCACTTCCCTGCCACTCAGTCAATATCAGTCAAGTTATGTTTTCTACATGGATTATCAAATTGTAGACAACAAAATATGCAGCTGGACAGGGAGTATTTTATTCCAAGAAGTTCTGTTTAGCTACAAAAATATGTAATGAAGACTTGAAATTATCATCGGAATTATTCAAGATCCTTCTTTGTTCTTGAGAAGTAAGATCAAAGCATTTGAGACTGCAAACTTATCCATAAAACAAACACTAGGAGCTTTATCAAACACGAGCAGACAGCTGTTGTCGTTGGGAAAAGGAAGAGGGTGTTGAGATGAGAGGTGAGCACGTGTGTGACAAATTTTCAGGACTTTGAGACTCTAACATCTCTCTTTTCTTCCATATTGTTGAAGAAAAAATATTCTTCTAACTATTAAGGAAAAAGTTATTCAATGACTCTTGTTAATAGATGACAAAGCAGACTTTATTCAAGGGGCAGCCATCGAGATGGTGTAAGGCCCACTGCCATGGGGTCTTGCCGTAGGGAAGAGAGACTGGACTCGGCTCTGACTCCAACAAGGATAAGTGGGGATTTATATCCAAGGAGCAGGGGGGAGT